AAAAAAAAAAAAAAGAAAATACTGTGATAGGTGTACCAAGAGTACAAGAACTAATTATTATCACATTTCCATAATAGTAAAAGTACCAAAATGAACACAACAAAACTACCTACCTAGCCCAGCAATTAGGGAAGCAGGTAAACAAACTTCAACAAAATCATATAATAAATACTGTGAAACCATTGAAAGAACAAATGATGCAGATTTATGGTTATGGCCGTGGAGGACAATTCCTGATCTATTAACTGAAAAAAATAAAATAACAGGGAGTGTTGTATGACTATTTTTGCAAGAAATAAAATATACTTACAAATGAATGGAAACAAAATGTATGAAAAGATATAAAGCCAAATGTTAAATAAGAGTTAACATGAGACTGGGTAAGGAACTCTGGTGGCATAGTGGGTAAGGCATTTGGCTGCTAACCAGAAAGTCAGTGCTTCAAACCCACCAACTACTCCACAAAAGAAAGATGGGGCAATCTGCTTTCGTACAGCCTCAAAAAGCCAATGGAGATCGCTATGAGTCAGAATCGACTTGATGGCAGTGAGTTTGATTTTTGGTTTTAGATTGGGTAGTTTGGCTATAAATGATTTTTGTATTTCCATATAATATATAATCTGTATTACTATAAGCATAATTAAGAATTCAGGTAGATATTTTATAAACACATGTCTTTTTTTTTTTTTTTTTTGTCAGAATATAAGTTTATAAAACCAAGGTGGTGAGTACACTAACAGCAATTCTTCCGTCATTCCTGTCACTGACATGACTGCCGTGGCTGCGGTGTGGCAGACCTGAGCTGCGCAGCAGGGAGGCAAAGCTCAGACAGAGGGCCCAGCGTGGTAGGCTCTGAGAACAGATGGGTGCCTCGTGCAGGCTGGGAAGCAGAGAAGGAAGGCAGGGAGGAGCACAGAGTGACATTGGCATTGTGCTTTAAAGAATGAGTAGGAACTTTGCAGGAAGGATGAGAGAAGCTGGGAAGATGCTCCAGGCAAGGGCAACAAGATCAGAGGGAAGAGAAGAAACAGCAAGATCAGGCCGCTGTGGATGGTTGGGCAGTTGGTGTACTGCAAAAGGCTTGCTGATGAAGGAGTAGGGCAGAAGTGTAGGCTAGCTTCACTTGCCAGAGGAAGGGGCACACACACATTCTTCTTCTTTTTTTTTAAATAGAGGAAAGGGGCTTTTGGTTTCTGCACAGACACCTTCTACTTGCCAAGCTGTAGGCCTTGAGGCTGTGTCCACCAGGAAAGGAGCACCTTTCCCTCTTTGCACGAGATCCCCTACACTGAGGGCCTTGAAACCCCTGCACTAGAAAGTCCTTCAATCCTTCAGGGGATGAAAGGCCTGCCATGTGCTGTCAGAGCCATTTTAAAGTCTGTGATATGCTCTGTATACTACAGCCCTCATTGCAGGATGCTGGAGCCACATGGGAAGTGTTGGAAAGGAAAACGTGTGTACGCTTTTAAGCTTTAACGGCCTCACTATGTATCAGAAACCTTTCAAATGACCATACCCTTTCAGTTTACAATTATGCTTTTCAAAATTTATTCTAAAGAACTAAGCATAAATGTCTGAATTATATAAGTGATTCTCTTCAGAGTTATTCCTAATAGTAGGGGGAAAAAACATATTCTTAATGTTCAATATTAAGGGGTTAGTTCAAAGAAGTATTATATTATGAAATTCTAAACTAGACAGCTCTGGGAGCTCTGGTAGCACAGTGCCTAAGGCACTTGACTGCTAACCAGAAGGCTGGCGGTTCAAACCCACTAGCCACTCCTCGGAAGGAAGGTTGGACAATCTACTTCCGTAGATACTGCCTCGGAAACCCAAGGAGGGGTCGCTATGAGTCAGGTCCGACTCGATGGCACACAACAACAACAACAAACTAGACAGCAGTTTAAAAATCATGTATCAGAGCTGGTTTATTCCCAGGTTTGAGTGCCCAAAACGCTGCACTTCCCCTGTGTTGGCACTTACCAGCCTTTATTGTTATGGCTTGCCCTCAAACAGGGGACCATGTCCCCTTTGCTCATCATTTTGTCCTTAATGTCCCACAGAGTGTCTTGAACATAACCAGCTGCCAGTGAGTTGAACCTGACTCACTGTCACCTCCTGTCTGTCAGGGCAGCCCTGTGCTCTACAGGGTTTGCAATAACTGATTTTTGGGAAGTAGATTGCAGGTTTTCTTCCAAGTTGTCTGTGGCGGAATTGAACTACCAACCTTTCGGCTAGCAAGCAAGTGCTTAACCATTTGTACCACCCAGGGATTCTGTCTTTAAAGTGGAAAGTGCTTCTTCTTCTTTTTTTTTTTTTTTTCCTCCTTGAATGGAAATAAGTTGGCTGCAAACCAGCACCAGAATAGGATTGATTTTTTTCCATATCTTTCCATGGAGATAATTTTTTTTTTTTTTTTATGACTTCTCACCCTTGTCCCCAGAAACCTGTAGTTTCAATATGCTACTTAAAAATTCTGATTCCATTATGCAAAGGAATAGGGAATGTTCATCAGAATCGTTTATGGAGCTTTCAAAAAATTCAAATCACTGGCCCCCTAAACCAGAATTCTAAGGCGCTCTAGTGGTGTACTAGGTAAGGCATTTGACTGCTAACCAGAAGGTCAGCAGTTCAAACCCACCAGCTGCTCTGTGGGAGGAAGATGAGACAATCTACTTCCCTAAAGATTTACAGCCTTGGAAACCCAATGGGGTTGGTTTGAGTGAGAATCGACTCCATGGCAGTAGGCTTTTGGTTTGGTTAAACCATAATTCTAGTTTGTAAGGCCAAGGAGGGGTTCATGCATATAGTTATTTTAAAAAATGTTTCCCAAGTGATTCTGATGCACATTAATGACTCTCCAGGTGCTGGGTTGAGGTTGCCTTGATACTGATGCCACCTGACCCCAGGGAACCCAGGGAGTGTGAGCAGAAGTTAGAAGCCTGACAGAGGACTGCTCTTAGAAACATGAGAAATGGACAGCCTGAGCACCGCCGGGGCGGGGCTTCCTGGTTTACTTTTTTTCTCCACACTCTTTCTCTGCACCCAAGGACACCTTTAGTCTCATTTCCTGATCTGAAAGCCTCAGCTGCGGTGCTGTCAGAGCCGATGGGGCAGGCAGGAATGCAGCACACAGGAATCGCCCTCTTTGCCTTAGTTGCCTGCGTGGCCCTTCGTGCCTCGGAAGGTGAGTGGGCAGTGGCCACCCAGGCCTCCAGGGAAGGGGCTGTCTCTCCTGGCAGCCCTGGGAAACTGAGGTGCTGTCAGGAATTTGAGAACCGGGATTTCTATCTCTTCACATAGAAGTTGCCGATGTGTTTCTACAAGATTGTTTACAAGCAGGACTTTGAACTGGTTCGAACTGATTTAGTCATGGCCGAAGGTTTGAACTAATTCAGTGATGGCCAAAGCAGCAAAATCAGAACAGACCTGAATTTTCAAAATTTGGGTTAAGTGGAATGGTAACTGGAACGTGAAAAATTACGATCCAAGTCCTGGAATGGGAGGTTTGGAAGAGAGGTAATGAGCCCTTTCAGTAGCCCGATGGGGAGATTGTATTGTTTGCCAGGACTGTGGAAAGCAACACACATTCAATGCAGTGCAATGAGCTGCCATCTGCCAGCCTGGTACCTGTTTCTGACTCTGTCAGTCAAATGATTTGGTTGCTATGCAAGGCACACACTGCTCTTGTCTGATAAGAGGGAGATTAAGTTTCTAGCAGGTCATGGAACTGTAATTTTTCCTGTTCTGGTTACCTTTCTGCTTCACTCACAGTTTACAAATTTAGGTCCACCAGATTTCACTTAATTGGTGATTACTGAACCAGAAAGACCAGTTAGAAGCCCTGTTTACAAGAGAATGGCATAGGTTTACATTCCAGATCCCCAAGAAGAAATTTCAGGAAGGTTCCTCATTTAAACAAGAATTTGAGTTATTTGCCAGGTGGAGGGTGAGGTCCTCCACACATGGACAGCTTTGAACCATACTTCCTTTTCTGATGGCAGGATCTTAGTGTCATGGATTGAATTTGTGTCAGCTTGGCTGGACCATGATTCTCAGGGGTATAGCAGTCATGTAATGTGGCAGATATATAATGATACCCCATGATATAATTTTTCTTGTTCTGGTTACTCACTATCTCTCTTCCCTAAACAGCAGCAGGATCCAGGTAAGGGGTGGGAGGCAGGCAGGCCCCAGCCCCCCAGAGCCAGGAAAGGGAGGAAGCTGCCTGAGGACCACAAAGTGGCAGAATCCAGGTAGGAATTAGGTAAAGGGGGGGGGGCTGGGTAGAAGGGTTTCTAACAGCTAAGGGAGACAAACTTGTCTGTCAGTTTGTCATCCTGTAGGGCTTGCATGTTGCTGTGACGCTTGAGGCTGTGCCACTGCTGTTTCAAATGCAATCAGGGTTGCACATGGTGTACAGGTTTCAACGCAGCTGAAACAGACTAGGAAGAAGGAAGAGGCCATCCACTTCTAAAAAAATTGGCCAGGGAAAACCTTATGAATAGCAGAGAAACACTGTCTGATACATTACTACAGAACTTTATGAATAGCTTGGAAACAATGTCAGACACAGTGCAGAAAGACAAGCCCCTTGGGTCAGAAGGTACTCAAAATAGGACTGGGAAAGAGCTGCCTCATCAGAGTAGAACCAACCTTAATGATATGGATAAAGTCAGTCTTTCAGGACCTTCATGTGCTGATGAGGCATGACTCAAATTGAGGAGAAACAACTGCAAACATCCATTAATAATCAGAGCATGGAATGTACAAAGTATGAAGCTAGGAAAATTGGAAGTTGTCAAAAAGGAAATGGAACTCATAAAGATTGATATCCTAGGCATTAGTGAGCTGAAATGGACTGGTTTTGGCCATTTTGAATCAGACAACCATTTGATCTACTATGCCAGGAATGACAATTTGAAGAGGAATGGCGTGACATTCATCATCACAAAGGATGTTTCAAGATCTGTCCTGAAGTACAATGGTATAAATGATAGGATAATATCCATACGCCTACAAGGAAGACCTGTTAATACTGCTACTATTCAAATTTACACACCAACCACCAAAGCCTAAGATGAGGAAACTAAAGATTTTTATCAACTTCTGCAGTCAGAAATTGACCAAACATGCAATCAAGATGTGTTGATCATCACTGGTGACTGGAATGCAAAAGTTGGAAACAAAGAAGAATCATCGGTAGTTGGAAAATTTGGCCTTGGTGACAGAAATAATGCTAGAGATCATATGATAGAATTTTGCAAGACCAGCAACTTATTCATTGCAAATACCTTTTTTTCAAAAACATAAACAGCAGCTATACATACGGATTTTGCCAGATGGAGTACATAGGAATCAGATTGACTACATCTGTGGCAAGAGGCAATGGAAAAGCTTAATATCTTCAGTCAAAACAAGGCCAGGAGCTGATTGTGGAACAGACCATCAATTGCTTATATGCAAGTTCAACTTGAAGACAATTAAAACAACTCCACAAGAGCCAGTATATGACCTTGAATATCCCTCCTGAACTTAGAGACCATCTAAAGAATAGATTTGATGCATTGAACACCAGTGACCGAAAATCAGAAAAATTGTGGGATGACATCAATGAAGAAAGCAAGAAGTCATTAAAAATATGAGAAAGAAAGAAGAGACCAAAATGGATGTCATTGGAGATTCTGAAACTTGCCCTTGAGTGAAGAGTAGCTAAAGCAAATAGAAGAAATGACAAGATAAAAGAGCTGAA